TCAGCACCGAGGTAGCAGCCCCATAGGACTTCAGAAATAGGGTTTGAAGAAGAATATTCTGTTTCTTAGACTCTTAGAATGTCTAAATCCTCTTTTCTCTCTGCAGCTTTCCCCTTTCATGGAACTAAACTCTCTTGAAAAAAAAACTATGTATCCAACTTTACACAGTTTCCAGGCAAGAATGGGATGGGGTGTGGAAGAAGAATGTTAAAAGCCTGGAATCCTTTTCCTGATGTTCAAAGAAATGGAAACTCAGATTCTTAGCGGGGTCAGAGGTTAGGGGCATCTGCGTTCCAAGCAGCTCAGTCACCCAGGCCTGCGAGGGACTCTCTAGTTCTGGCAGCGGCTCTTAGGGGCAGAAACATTGCAGGAGCTGAGTCTTGAAAGCCTGTGTGATCCTAGGGATGTATCCGGACTTATTTGGATTGCCAATAAGGATGTCGTTTTTTTCTAGGCCAGGGTTCTCCTTGTTGACTCATTGGCACCCCATATAGTCTATACACAGACTCCAGTCTGGGGTTCTTCGTTGGGGTTCTAACATTTGAAATTGATGCAGTTCTCTTAGAAAAACATCTTTAGTGCATCTGAGCCAATTTTAGATGACTTCATAAATTCTGCCACCCTCCTGTTTTCCCTGGTGATACATGACCACATCTACCCAACCCCAACGGTCTTGTTTGCCTTTAATCTATATGACCCAAATATTATTTCTATGCACATGAGAATCCAAGGTTTTGGATACCTGGCATGCTTATAACTCTTGCCGACAGTCCCTCATAGTCAGGGCTTAAAGCACCAAAATACAGGGAAACAAAGCAGAGAGAGTTCCCCGGTGAAAAATCGGACAGGAGGGGAAGAGCGTGTGGAATACAAACATTACCACCTCAAAGTGAAGGCAGAACAAAATCAAGCATGTTTAGACCTGGATTTGAGCCAATCTAACATAAGGAAATGTTTTTTTAAGTAGCATTGCTTCTAGAATCTGTGAATTTTGCTCTTGCATGAAGATGAGTGCAGTACTGTCTTCAAAATGATTGTAGAATTTGTTGGTAGCTTTAACACCGAAAAAATGTGTGTGACTAAATACCATCCTTGACATTCAGCTAGAACCTTGGCAGCGACAGATCTATTTAATTGTACAAATGTGTGTAAGGATTATTTTTAGTGTACTAATAAATTTAAAACAAAAGCTACTCTGTCCTCTTTAGTCATTCCTATTGACTCATTTTGGTCCCAGGTTATTTTTGTGCCACTTGGAAGATGAGTATTTCTATAGGTAACTACAAATTCTATCCTATCTTTGTAAGAGGAGCTGTGTAAGATTTTTCATTTAAAGGGACAATTTACTTCATTATTTATCTCATTTTTTTTTGTTATAGCATTGTATTTTCCCCCATTTTTTCTTTGCACATTTCAATATGCATGGTTTAAAAACCATTATCTTCTCTACCTTTTGTACAGTAAGGTCTCATTTCCAAACTGTATAGTTTCATTTTCTCGTTTTGCTTTGTCAGTTATATACAGTATAAAGTTGCTATGCACAGAGCTTTTTGTAAAGACAGCCTTTTTGTTTACTGTTTTTAATGGTCTTACTTATGAAAGAATATCTTGTTTGTAAAATGAATATGTCTACTTCAGTTTTAAACTTTAAATTATCCTAACAAAAAATAAAATTTTTGTACTGTAAAAATGGTTGGAACTTTGCTTTTTTCTTTCTTTTAAGCATCGACTACTCAGAGAGGCTTTTGCTGACCTCTGACCAGGCAGGTTTCCCACTTATTCTCTTGAACTGAACTCTGTGTCCTTGTCATAATTTGTTTACATTGATTGTCCCCCTTAGACTGAAGGCTCACAAGAACAGGAACTGTATCTGTTTCAATACTGTGTATGGACACTGACCTCGGTGCCTGAGGTGCCCAACAAATGCCTGTTGAACGAATGAATGAGCAGACTGAATTCTGCTCCCTAAGGGCAGCTCTGCCTTGTCATGTGGGAGAGGCAGCTGATCTGTCACAGAAGATAGGAAGAAAAGCATCACATAAAGAGTGAGAATCCACTCTTTAGGGATTATCTTGTCAGTCAGCTAGTCAAAAAGAAAATGATGAAGCGCATCTATCATGTAAGGTGGATGGTCATTTAAAAAACAAGAAACTCAAAAGGGGAGGGAAGCGAGGAAGAAGAGACCTCTGGCTGGTGGCCTGTTGAGTAGGTTGCTTTGCCTCTTGGCCTTGAAACTTATCTCATTCGGATTTTCATGATGCTCAGATGCAATTCCAGAACTAGAACTCGGGCCTTTTAAGGGAATGTACATTACATTCCTGTTCCAGGTATGACACTGCATGCTGATCATACACTTGAATCTCAAAGAGCTATGGGAGCTTCTTCCAAACCGGAAGAAGTTCAGAGTGGCTACCAAGCACTGCATGTGAGAGAGCGATGAGATTTGAAACTTTAAGAATTAGGCAGGGACTGGGTCCTCAAGGACTTTGTTCACCATGCCAAAGAGTTTAGACTGCAGCTGTAGACTACACTGTACGTAACGGAAAACTATTAAAGGGACTTACATCAAGGAGTGACACAATCAACTTTATGATGCTGACAAATCACAATAGCTACGGAGTACATTATGGATTGTAGCAAGAGAATATTGGAGACAAGGAGACCAATTAGGCAAAGGATGAAAGACAGCTGATAAGCACCAGTGTGCTGTGTCTATGAATGATATCCATTTTGATTGGTCAGTGCCTGTGCCATGCCAGTTGATAAATGTTTTTAAATTATGCTTGCAATTCGGAAATTACTGCTATTGTCCAGATAAGAGTGAATCTTACCTGAAAAAGGATAGGCAATAGAAATGGAAAGTAGAGGAAAGGTTTGAGAGAAAGCTCTGCAGTTTGACAGGACTTATTGACTGCTTAGATGTGGGAATGAGGGAAGTAGGTGACTCGGATAACCCTCAGTTTGCTAGTTGGACAATTGGATTTTGTGATAATATTAACTGAAGTGGGAGACAGAGAGAACCATATTGTAGCAAATGAAAAAATATGATGATTTTATATCAGGGCACAAGTGCTACCGTTCTTCCTTTTCTTTCTTGGTTAGCTGAAGATTGTTTTCTAGCAGTTTATTCAAGAAGGAGTCTGGAGAAGTATACTCTTTGGTGTGTGTGTGTGTGTGTGTGTGTGTGTGTGTGTGTGTGTGTGTGTGTGTATATGAATATATATATGATTACTCTACTTCTATTTGAATGGTTGTTTGGTTGGGTATTAAATCTCTATTGTTCATCATTCATATCTATCACATTCTCTGCAGCCGGGCTCGACTCTTAGAACTCTTGTATACTTGCTTTTCTCACTCTCGTCCTCCTCTATAGTCCCTTTAATGTGGCCTTAATTTCTCAGATGGTTTTACTTTTTTTCTTTTTCAAAAGCTGTGCCAGCTTATATCTCATCACTGTCTACTGTGTTGCTTATTTTCATTGAATTATTACAACTCTGTTTTGAGCTATTGTTTTACAATCTTTCTCTCTAAAATGCTAGTTCTCTGCCAGCTCATCATGGGAGGAGTTTTGTTGTTTTTCTTCCTTCCATCCCTCCTTCCTTCCTTCCTTCCTTCCTTCCTTCCTTCCTTCCTTCCTTCCTTCCTTCCTTCCTTCCTTTCATCTATCTATTATTACAGTGAGCTTGATCAGAATTACCATCAGCTCCATGAAAACTTATTTCCTCCCCAGTGAGTGTTCTTCAACTATCGTTTTTTTTTTTTTTTTAACCCCTCATAGTATATGAATATAAATCACATTTTGGTATCTTTTTGATAATAATCATCTTTGATCGAAGTGAGCTATTCCTGGATCAGCTATTTGCTAGAAGTGTGTGGGGGGTATGTCTAGGCTAATAGGATTTCTTATTTCAAAGATGTGTGTGTGTGTGTGTGTACAAGAGGAAACAGACAGTCAGACAGACAGACTCCTTTTAGTTTTTACTTCTTGGGCAAGATAAGCCAGCATTTGTGCAATTGTTTACATATACGGTTTGTTTGGGTAATTCCCTCATCAGTCTTGCCTCCTGCACCCCAGGTCTCTGCCAAATGGGATATGCCTACAATGACTCTATATGTTTGCTCCAATTATTCCAGTGAGAGACTTGGGTTTTGACCCTTAAGATTGTCACATTTTATCCCACCAGCTTTGTCCGACATTAGCAGCTAAGTTTGTCTCTACACATTCCTATTTGACTTTCTGTCATTGCCATCCTTTTCTCATAAATTGTGGTTTAAAGTAACCAGTTTTCTTAGTTTCATTAAAGATGAAATTCATGCTTCTTTTTCTCATTCCCTTATTTCCTTTGGAGTGAACTGATAGAAAATTTCTTATGATAGCAT